CCCCCCCCAAGACACTTCTTGTCAGCCCCCCCTCCTCTTCGCATCCTGAAGAAACCCCAACAGGAAGAGGGCGGGCAACGGCGTGCAAGCCAACATTTCGGCGAGGCTGCAGCCAGCTGCAGAGGCTGCAGAGCCGTTTTTACCTCGGTTTTTACGACACAGCGCCATGGTGTTGTCCCTCGCCTGCTTATTTCGACCTCGAGAGCTAGTCGAGAGGAAAAGTATGATGCATCACGTTATCGTGACCAATTGAGGAACTCGGTACTGAGTGCAAATTTTTCGCTCTTTTTGACCAACATTAACATATCTTTTTTCGTTTCTTTATGGGGTTACGGGGTGAGGGTGAGGAGCGGGTCTAACTGTTGATCGAACCAATCTGGGTTAGGGGTAGCAAACAACGCCTCCCACTCACCTCTGCAGTCCGCAGACGAAGTCGGTCGGCCTGAGCACGAGCAGGAAGGTGACGCAGTAGCAGAAGAGGATGCCGGTGAGCAGGACGTAGGACAGCTCGCGGCCGCTGGCGCGCACCACGGGCGTGTCGTGGTGCTTGATGAACACGCCAAGCACCAGGACCGTCGTGACGATGCCGAAGCACGAGAAGGCCATGGCGCCGATGGCCCAGCCCGAGTCCACCTGCAGGAAGTCCTCCGGGATGGCGAGGCAGCGCGTGTGCAGGGCGTCGGGCAGCGTGCCCATGGCGCACTCGTCGCACCGGGTCTCGTCCGACTGGTTCCGCACCTGCACAGGGGAAGGCTCACGTTATTGAAGACAAAACGTCAATATTTCACCGAGTTCATGACGTTAACGGAATCTATCAGAGGGCAAACAAACTGTAGTGATCATCTAGAAAGTACGTCCGTCATTCGCCGACAGGAACCTGCCAAGTTCAGTCCCTGCAAGCTCTTAAAGCGCCTGGCAGGTAGACGATTTCTTGTCTGCAGTGCATGTGTGTATTGCGGGGAGGCCTACCCGGAGTCTCGCAGGCACCGAGCTTCCATCCGTAATTTGCCGAATGATTCTGAGAACAACGGACGCACTTTCTACTAGACGAGGGTCCCCACCTGGTACTGCGTGCAGTTGAAGCAGTGCCAGCAGCAGCTCTCCCGCTCCACGTAGCGCCGCGCCTGGCCCTGCGCGCACGGCAGGCTGCACACAGACACGGGCGGCGAAGGTGACTCCAGCTGGAACTGGATCTCTGCGGCCGGGGAAACGGGAGAAAGGAAGGTTAGAGTTGAATCCGCGAGAGATGTTTCGTGCGAGCGGCACAGCCTGCTCACCGCTCATGTTGAGGTGCAGCTCGTTGCCGGAGTACTCCCCGACGCGCACCCAGCTCCACCGGCCCCGCTCCACCTGCTTGAAGTGGATGATGTTGTAGCGCGCCGGGCCGTCGCCGTTCCTATCGAACTGGAACTTGTCGCCGCTCAATCCTGAAAGAGGAGAATGCAAAAGTAAGAAGGGCGTTCTCCCCCCTTCGCCACCCACGGCTGCCCCGCCACTTGCCTGTGAAGGAGACGTTCCTGAGGTAGCCGAGCAGGATGTTGCCTTCGGTGGGCTGCATGGCATCGCAGAGGCCGGTCTGTCCGCCGCACAGCTCCAGGTGCATCTGCCTGCGACACACACACACACCGGAGCTAGTTACGGCGAGGGAGCACGCATCGCGCCGGGGAGGCACGAGGTTAGGCACTCACTTGAGCGCGTGCGCGAAGGCCATGACGGCGTCGCTCACGAACTGCAGCTGGTCCTCGAAGTCCGTGTTGTTCTTGCTGAGGCGCAGGTGCGCCGCGCACGGCTCCGTCCACTGCTGGTTGTACGGCGTGGCGGGGCTGTTGTTGTAGCGGCAGTGGAAGTGCGCCTCCCAGAACTCTGCAAGACACGACAAACTCAGTTTCAACATGGTCTCAAAGAAATTCATTTGCGGATTTTATTTTATTTTTATTTTGTTTCGTCCTCTGGCGCGGAAGTCGCGTGCAATAAGCGCGCGGCGGCGGTGATTACCGAGGCGCAATTAGGCGGCGCTTCATCGGCGATAAGGGAGGATAATGAAAGTAAGGACCCGGCTGGAGGAGGCGGCCGGCGGGCCTCGGGCCGAGCGGAGCAGCGGAGCGGCGGACCAGACCGACAGTTTTCCGCCTTTACGGCGCGGTTGGCGGGGAGCGGGCGGGATGGGC